TCCCCGTCCTCCGCCCGTCCTCAGCGACCTCTCCAAACGCACCAAGGACCACTGGGAAATTCCACGCTCGCAGCTAGTGCTGCAGGAGAAACTTGGCAACGGCCAGTTTGGTGAAGTCTGGAAGGGTAGGTGGTCCCCCCTCATGCCCGGTGTGCTTTTTTTATTCAGCCTCTGGCGCTTTCGCCGGTTGAAGTTACCTGCTTGGAAGCGGTAACGGCGAAATTTTAATTTAGGGTCGCAAGCAGCTTATTTACATAATCGATTATTTGCGCGCGATAATTAAAATGGTTTTCGCGTGCTGCTTGGAACCCTAAGTTGAACTTTTACTGCGGTAACATGTAAACTGCATATTTATAGGTCCAGTGCGATCCGCATATGTCTCTATAAGGCAGCTACCCCATGAGCTCTGACTACCCTGCCACGAGTTTTTTTCATTCGGTGTCTTTAACCGAGTGTCCGGGAGTAAGGGTTCATTGTAAATGAGGACATTCTGACTAGTGAGGATGGGGTGGGGAAGTTACCGCCTCTTGGGCACCGGAAACAATAAGGGAATAATAAAAAATGTTTAAAACTACCTTTTTTATGACAGCGTTGAGTCTTGTCTTTTTATTTGATGTCTTTCTGGCCACCTACACAGGTCACAGGAGCCCGATTCAGTACTACGAAATGCGTATTATTTTCCCTAATATTCAGTTGACCCAATTGTGAAAAATTGGAGCTCTCGGGTGTGAGTCGAACCTCACAGCAGGGAAGGCTTTTGCACAGCCAACGCTCTATCATTGAGCTACGAGGCTCACCGTTAGCCGTGGATTTAAATACCTACATATATTCTCTCCTTTCTTTTTAATTGTTTTTTTATACATTAGCGCCTTCTTCAAATTCTACCCACGATAGGGGGAGAAGTGTAGATTTAAAAGGGTGTAGTCTTTAACAACAAAAAGTCGCCTCTGATACCTCCCAAACGACATGTAATGTATACTCTCCAGGGTAAAGTGCTCTATCTCTCCCTTTCCACGGGAAAGGACTTCTCAACAGAAACTGATCAGGTCTTACACATTATTGGCTCCGCTTGCAGCGTTTGGCCTATTCGTTTTCCATTTGTATGTGGCCCGGGTTAGACAAAGACTTTGCATCATGTCAACCAGTAATGGGCAAGACTCTGTCGTATAACGAAGGCTTAGCTCTTTAGCCTTGTTGAAAGTATGTTCAATCATCTGAGAGTATACTACCGGAGTTTCGGCACATTTTTATCTCGCATGTGGATCACGAGTGGTCAGGCCAGTTATCACTATCGTAGTTCCGTCATGACTGTTAGCATACGCTATTATAACGACAACTTTGGCAACGAAACCGCTTCTGTCTAACCTAGCCGTCTAGCGGTGTGCGCTACGCTATCTTTAACCAGCTTCCAGGCAAGTGAAGGACATTTTCAACACGCAGCTTTTCCTGCTAAACGTACCGCTCCTCTTTGACTCTTCAGTGTTTTTTTTGGGATTAGTACTTTCCTCTTATTTTCTTGAAACTGAACTAAATGCCACTGTTTCGTATTTCAGGTGAATGGAATGGTACCACACCAGTGGCTGTAAAAACTATGCGACCGGGTACTATGTCAAAAGAGGAGTTTCTCAAGGAGGCCCGCATTATGAAGACCCTTAACCACCCCCGACTGGTCCGTCTCTACGCCGTGGTCACTACGGAACCCATCTTCATCGTTACAGAACTCATGTCCAACGGCAGTCTCTTGCAGTACCTGCGCTCCGATGCTGGCAAGGCCCTGGATCTCAAACAGCAGGTGGACATTATGGCCCAGGTATGTGTAAATATTCTTTCATGGACGAAAAACCTGAATGGGGCACCAATGTTTCCCATAACAGTTGCACTTTTTGGGTGAAGCCAGTGTTGTGATCCGCGGCTGGTACTTGTAATCAACATTAACTGTGGGCTGGCTCTAAAGTTGTTCCCAAAGCCAGCACGAGAGAGGAAGAGAAGGCAATCGATCACGTGGAGAGCTGGATTAACAAGAAACAAGTCGCTTTCACAAAAAGGCTGCGTATATTTACTCGGTCCGCTTGATGAGAAAGTCGGAGGAATGGACCGATCAGATCTGACGTGAAATCGATAGCAGCGGTGCGCGCTCCCATAGTACCTCGCGCAGGCGCCTTTCTGTGCGATGACTTATCGTGAGAATGGAGGCATTTATGACAGCCGGTTTAGTTTAGTAAATGTAGTCTGCAACATTTTTGGTTCAGTTCGGGCTGCCTTGTCCCACGTTGCACTTACCTGAATGCTTTGAATCCACAGAATACTATCTTACTGGAAGAAGAAGAGACTGTAATTCACCTCACATGGACCTCCCTTACTACAGCCCGCGTAACTCACATTTAAGAGGCAGAGTTTTTTAAGTCTTGACTTGAATGTTTCCGATATTTCAAGCTTACTCGGTGAACGATGTTGTTACTATGGACAGAAGAACATTACAGCCAAGGACAAGGAAGACTGGAATGTCCATTTCTAACTTATTAGCCATCATCAGCCAGCCACACCCAACCTTAGGCTCAAAACCACGATCTTCAGTAGTCTAGCGATCGCATCCTGTAGGCACTGTAAAGCCACAGTCTTGTGCACTATAACCCATATCTGACGCTGTCTCTAATGATGAGTTCAAGCATGAATCTAAAACGTTCTGGTTCCAATGATTGAGTTTACTACTCCTTCTTTTAACTTGCTTCCTGGCACTTGAATCTTCGCTTGCATCGTCAAGTCATTCTGGCATTGTCTTTCCCCGGAGCCGGATGCCTGAGGAAGACTGCAGTACAGTAGATGCTGCCTCGGTCGGCTTTACTATCACCTAATTGAGAAGAAGAAGAAGACTCGATCGCTGGGACAATACGTTTATTCGCCTGACGTTTCGGCAGCCATCGCGGATTCGTCATCAGAGACATTAGCAGAAAACGGTAACAGAAACGGGTAATGCGTGCACAGGAGTTTGCAATAATTTATAGGATACAGTCATTACTGCAAACATACAGCGACAATTAACGCTATTTGCCTTATTGCGCGTAGATAGTTTGTTGGACGGCATATGATGTCTGACCTGTTGAACTTCGAGACGTCAGGTGAATAAAAGTATTGTCCCAGCGATCGAGTCGTCTTCTTTTCAATTACTTCCTGGAACTCGCATGTTCGCATGTATTGGCTATTACCTAATTCTCAAAATTGGGATTATCTTACTGTCGCGGGCAGAAAACTTGCCTGACATAAGAAGACACATCCATGTAGCCGGGTACGCGAATCCTGGAGGGAGTGGGGAGGGGCAAGGTCGTCTTTAGTTGTTTTGGTTTTGGAACAGGATCACGATGAGCGCTGAAGGAGATAGGGAGGTGTTCAATGAACACACCCCTAGTCCGTCTTTTGGTAACTTGCCCAGCCTAGCGAAGGAATTTCCCTTTCCCGCCGACGTCCAATTAGAGGCTTTTTGTTTAACCGCCCCTGCACTTATCTGGTACATTTCTCAGGAGCTTACCCGAAGAAAATCCCAGCGTTTGAAGGGATAATTTGTCACACATACACTCCGAGCTGCTGGGATGCTTCCTAAGGCCACACCCATGCCTGCCTTTGATACATTCCCGGACATGCCGACGGATTCCATAGGCAAATTTTTACAGCGCTAACTGCAGCGAGTTACTGCTACAAGCAGGTCTCTTGCCTCTCCAGTCTGTCACATATGCATTCTCATTATCAGACAGGAAATGGTTGCTTTCGGCGCCATTAATCTTCTGCAGGTTCAGTCAAAGTTAACTGGCCCTAGACCAATTAAGTCTTGGCTCGCCTGCGGTCCATAAAATCG